TAATTTGAGAAATGTTCAACTATAATTAAATTTGAGAAAAACTAAAGATAAACCCGACAAAATTTCGTTAATCAGCTATGTAGGCAGCTATAGGTTCCGCTCCAAACACTTATGTACATACCATATGTACATAAATCAAATCTGTTATTGTTTATGTTAAGTCTGGCGAGATAACCTTTCTTTAATTGATCTGACTTTTGATTGATATAACGAAATGGTGTCAGAAATAGGTATTCGAGACAAGGTATTTTAAACTGCAATTCTAATATTTTGGTGACATAGGAAAAAAGATGTAATGCTCAGAGACTAGTTTGCACAGAAACAGTTTGCATATACATAAAAAAATATTTAATATGTATAAAAAAAATTGTTGTGGGAGTGGGTACCGGATAATTAGCAGTTGGATCCGATGGATTTTAGCATTCCCTTCTTCTTTACTATTCCCTATCTTAAAATGAAATGCAAGTATAATATCAGAAATCATCAGAAATAATACATTATTTCACATCCTTTAGCTAACTATTGGAGTACAAATAATATAGCTAATGAAAAAACTGTTTCCATACCACATAGGAAAACATAGTAGTTGCTGATAATATCAATAGGTCTTCTAAATGATTGCTGCACTAAAAAATGTAGTCTTGGACAATCTGTCTGCCATTTACGACAATTTTACGCTTCCACCAACATTGTCGTGGCAAAGTCAATTCTTATCTTTTTTACTTTTTTTCTCACTATCTGAAGCTCAAGTCTATCTTAAGTCTTCAAGTTTCTGCTATATATTTCCCATATGTCTTCCATTTAAACTCATTAATATACTTGACGCTTCTTATGTAATTAATAAAATCTTCTCCATTCAATGCTGCTGTCGGTATTATTCTTGTTGTTGCTGTTTCGGGGCGTCGTCGTTGACGCGTGCAATTGTAGAACAACAACAAAACGCATAAGAATAGCAACAACAACCAACAACAAAAAGAAGCAGCAAGAGGAGAACTAAAGAACGCCGATAGCCAGACTTGTCAGCACAAGTCGTATAAAATTCATTGAAAAATAGGAAAAGAAAATTGTCGCGCTACGGCAGACCATAGCAGCAACTACAACTCGTACACACATGTACATATGTATGTATGTATGTATGTATGTACGTGTGTGTAAGTGTGCTTAAAGTGGCAGTGACACCATGAAGATGGGGGCAGCAGCAAGAAAGGGGAGATAGGCAAGCATGCATGCACAAACAAACAACCACAAGCGGCAGCAAAAGCAACAACCACAACTTGTAAGCGATAATAACAAATTGAAAAAGTGCGTGTCAATGTGCGGCAGTGCGTATGTATGTATACTAAATGTACATACATACATACACTTTATATAAATATAGTGGACTGTGTGTGTGTGTGACTCGTTTGTCGACATCGTTCGTCGACTTCGAAAACTGTGCGAGTAGCTTGCAACAAACAATGCACCGACCTGCAGGCTAATTTATTGTTGTTTCTGTTGTTGTCAATTACACACTTTAAGCCGCATTGTTGTTTTTATTTTGGTTGCATTTTTTCTGTCAAATTATCTTAAACGCACACATACATATGCATGTACATATGTACAAATGTACATACGTGCACGTTTTTGAAATTTAAAATTCCCAACGCGTTTTTTGCACACACGACCATCAAATTTTTCGACTATTGCAATACTCTGCATAAAGGAAAGGGGGGAAACCAAATTCTTTGAAATGTGTGTCACAATCCAAGTTAGGAGTGGCTGAAGCCTTAGAATTTGTACATATGTATTCCTGAGTCGCATGAGGTATTTGAAAAATAATGGAGTTAATAGATTTAAAGACCGTTTAGTTCCAGCTTCAGAGATCTAAACTTTTTTCGATACACGTTTGAATTGTTCAAGCAATACAAGAATACTTGGTTCAAAGATCTTAACCTATATTGGTAGATAAAAGTTTATCCTTTCTTAACCAAATTTTAACAAGATTTTCCTTCGATGTGAACGCCAAAGTTTTACAATTTGTTCCTCTTCTTAATCATCAATTTCTTTACTATCCCAACCTAATGCTTATCATGTTCACTTGAAATATAACACATTTTTGTAAATAAAATCTTGGTATTTAATTAAATTTCGACGCCAAAGTTTTACAATTTGTTCCTCTTCTTAATCATCAATTTCTTTACTATCCCAACCTAATGCTTATCATGTTCACTTGAAATATAACACATTTTTGTAAATAAAATCTTGGTATTTAATTAAATTTCGATTACGTTTCTAGGTCGTTTGTAAATATATTTATACAAACAAAAAATACCTCCAAAATATATTTATATATAAAAAATACCTCCATAGCTTCCTACAATTAAGCCCATAATTTATTTGCTTATATATTTAACAATTAAGCTGTACATTATTTTGCTTGGAAAATGTAACATATTAGTGAACAAGTCGTATACAGGTTACTGACTAAAGGGTATTCATTAGTTGTTCTAATGTCGTAGTCTTGTGTTGTGACTGCTTTTATGCAAATTAATATTTAACATGCCTGTAAGCAAATCAAAGTTAAATCGATGACTTGTCAATACAAATATTGAGGGACAAAAGACACAATGTTTATATAAATATAATTTTGATGAGCCTCGAGTTATTCTTATCATTATTATGTTTGCTTTTATAGCATGCATTCTTATTTGCTTTCCACACAAAAACGATTTGTTTGCATTTCTCTCGAAGAGAGTGAAAGAGAAGAAGAAAAAACAAACAAACGAACTAACAACTTTTTTCTTTCAATGTGAAGTTGAAGACTTTTGATTAAAATGTATGGCACGCCTGTCATGGCCAACCAGATACGTGGTCTTCGGACGCCAAACGGTCATTTCCGACTTGGTTTTTATTTGCTGTACACTCTCGTGTACAATATACATAGTTATAGGTATTACATGACCCCTAGTAACAATTTTATGGAGTCGCACGTGTAATTAATAATATCCGGTGATATGAAAAAGAGGCTTAGACGGAACACAATATTAAAATATCTATAGCTTTTGCAGTTATATACATTTTTGGCTCTACTTGAGTGTTCTTCAACTATGTCTTTTTTTTTTATTTCAATTTGAAAAACAGGTTACAGATATATCTTTGTAGCATACTTACATATATACGTAACACTCATAGCTGTGTCGCAGAAAGAAAACTTTGTTTTAGATTACCAAATATTAACTTCTAAGTCTACTGAACGGGAAAGATATTGGATCTGAAATCCCTTCCGCAAAATACAAGAATAATAGAAATTCGATTAAACATAGTATGATTTATTTGAACTTATTAGAGATCTTCCAAACAGTAAAATATTTCAAGTATATATTTCCTGCACTCTGTTCATAAGATTCTAAATCTTATGGATTGTAGAAAAAATCTCGTAAAACAATTGCGATCAATTCCTAATGTGATAACTCAGAAAAGAAAATAAACCATAAATATATACTTATATATGTACATACATATGTACATATAATCGTCATTTTCTAGTGGCGTTATAAGCAACATTTCCAAATATTTGCAAAATAGCAGCAAATTTGTTCGTTCTAGAGAAAAGTAAAATTTAAAAAGTCGAATTAAAAATAATTATTAAGAATATGCGTTATTCACTACTTTTTTTACGGAATTAAACAACAAGCAGAACTTGTATTTCACGGAAAATGAGCAAAACGTGCTCGCATCTGGTGGTTCCGACTTCTATCACCATTCCTTATACTTTTTTTAAAGGATTGTGCAACACTAATTTCCACTGATTCCCCTTTTTTACGCTTTCTTACCGCTAACCAAGTAGCGTTTCGAAGACCGTTTAACAGCTGGTCCTTTGTAGTGCCACTGCTTAACGGCTTCCATTATCATACAATACTCAGAACTCCTAGTGGTTGTTTGTTTCTATTTAATGAGATCTCTTGCTTTAGCAAAGCATTGCAAAATATTTATTTAATGATTAAACCAACAAAAAGCAAGAATAAAATAATCGCCACCTAAGCTAAAAAACAAAAACAATACTCATAGATGCGTATCTGCGGGAACGGACCGACTGCTAATGTTGTATAACCGACAATTTGGCAATTTTAAGCTTTGTGTATTTTGGTCTTCAATTGAATTGGAAATAATTTAGCACAGAAGTGAAATGAAAATTGATACCGTGCCAGCTCTGCGGGGCCTTCATCCTCGCTCCAGAACCCCCTTTCCCACCGAATTAAAAAGCGCACCCGTAACAAGCGACGAGCGATGACATCATTGGAAACGATGACGCCTCCGTCGCCACCGACAAAGGCGATGATTGGGAGAGCGACGTCGCGACAGTATCAACACGACTGGTGGCAGCAACTTTCTGCAAATTGGAAATGCTTTCCAACGTAGACGAAATAATAATCATAATAAAAAATATACACACATGTGCATACTACAAGTAGAATACTGTCGTATAAGTTTTCTTATCAACGGCGACGATGACAGCAGCCGGGCAGCAACAAAGGAATGTCTATAATGATAGAGAATGGACGGTGGAGTATGGTTTGATGTTGGCGCGGCCATAAAGGGCGCGTCGTCGCACGGACTCGGCAATGAGACTTGCGACACATACAAATGTTGCAACGTCGAAATGAAGCCACTCTTAAAATGGGTGGTGGGTGGCACATTGGTTGGCAGCACTTCGGGTGCATGTGTATATTTAGGTACATAAGTATAAGCTGCTGCTGTTGATGAAGTCATAGCCGAGTTTGGCACTGTGTGTGCTCTTTTGGGGACGTCCCAGCCGGGAATAGAACTAACACACACACACAAAGGCACGTTATATGGCAACAAACACAACAAATATGTACAACGAAACCAAAACGCCATCGTTCTCTGCTCTGTTGGGCTGTGGTCTGCGCAATATTTTCACAAATACATAACCATATACTATACACATATGTACATATGTATGAGCGCACCTATGGAGGATGGCAATGACGACTACTTACCGCACCACAATCGGCAGCCGGCGAATTCTCGACAATGTCGTAGATGACATGTGGCGGTCCAGTTGTTCCGAGCAGCGAGAAACCGAAACCGGAATTCTCACTGCGTCGCAGCACCACTTTCAATTCCTCGGTCATTGCGCGACGTTGCCGTTGCTGTTGACGCGTCCGCCTTGCTTATACCGCTCCCTGCTTCGAGTTGTTGCTGCTGTTGTGTCTGTGTTGTGGGCGCTGTCGTCCACTAACCACCTGGAACCGCCGCTATCGCTGCCGCTGCTGCGTTACGACTTCTCTGCTTACTTCTGTTTTTACTTTTATGGATTTCAATTTGCCAACGTACGCTGAACGTTGCTTGCTGTTGTTGTTGTCGCCGCCGTCGTCATTTGCACTTTGTTTTAATTTTTGACCCGTTCCTACTTGAAATGCTTGACTGAAGTTTTGGGCTTGGTCGCCACTGCCGCCACTTCAGCACTTCTTTGCGCACTCATTTACACTTACTTCATTGCACTTACACGCAGCCATAAAGCCGCACACACACAGGCACAAACGCAGACACAGAGGCACACACACAACACTTGTAAATTTGTAAAAAATTGGATGCTCGTATTTGGTTGCTAATATTTATAATTTTTTTTTTATAATTTCATTGCGCTCGTACATAGCCGTGGCCGGCCACTTTCTTTTTACGCAAATTCGCAGCAATTCAGCATCGAAAACTTGTTTAAATTTTGTCTTTTTCGAAAAAAAATTTTCTCCACTTTTAACACCTATCCGCCGCTACCGCAGAGCAAGCTGCCACGGTTCGTTTGTTTAACACCTCATTTTGCGAGTTGAGTTTGCGTTTTATTGGCTTTCAAACGCATTCGTTGTGTTATGAGCTTTTCATTATAGAACATTTGTTAATTAATTATATTAATTAGTAATTTTTTCACAACTGACGAAAAACCACAACCACCGATGCGGCTGCGATGCGCGAGAAACAAACCGACACTATCGAAAACATGGTTGTTTGTTGACGATGTCTCATATTCGACACATTTATCGACTGTGAGTAGCACTAGCTATCGGATAGACGCCTTAAGCCATGAGTGCTGGGTTATATTATAAATTTAAGCATCTTTCAGCACTGGTCCAATTGGAGTTGCCAGATGGTGAAATGCATATATTGGTCGTTTAATTTAAAATCAATTGTAGGGCCAGATCCTACAGTAACAGCACATTATTTCGCGCTGTAAACTTGAAATTCGTTTTCTAGCAGAGATTTAAAAAATGCAACATTTTAGGGAAATATATATTTCATTCAACATCTGATGACATTTTGGTGCTAGTCGTTTCTTAGCACGCTCCACACAAAATGATGACATCAAAATGCGGCATTGATGAAGGGGAGATGTGGCTAGTCACCAAACGAAATCTGCCGCGAAAACTAAAAGAGGCGTGCAATTGCGCCTTTTAGATAAGTGACCGACTGCGCGACCCACCAGTCCGTTCGGTCGTTCGACGGCAGCGGATTTTTATGAGCGATATTTAAATTTTATAGTTCCCAAAGGCGCACAAAGCACTTGACTCATGCGCAGAGCGCACACATGTGCTGCACTCAGCTTCTACTTCCGTTTTGCTGCTGGACTTGCTTTGACAAGCGAGCGGACCTAAGTAAACAACAACATAGTTTGTGGGTGTCATAACTACTAAAAAAAAAAAAACACAAATATATAGAGGGAGGAAGACGTCGCACGCGACGCCCAGATGTTGTGCACAATTATCATATCAACGGCACATCATTTACAGTTAAGTGAAAAAACAGATTGAGCCAATCGGAAAGTGCGCGTCGATATGCCGGACCAATGAGATGAGCGCTTAGGAAAAAGTTGCCCTCATACGCGACAATCGCCTCAGAGAGTCAGTTTAAATTTGACTGCGTCGGCGTAAGGAACAAGAATGAAGAATAATCCGAGCTATAGCGCCTACGGGGATCCAACAACACATTGGCTGACCGAAGGTTATGTGGAGTACAATCATCAGGCACAATGTCGCTACGAGCTGCCAATTAATATGCAAAACTATGGCGATGAAGACAACTGCAACAAAAGTAATACAAGCTGCATCAATAACATTTTTAATGATTGGAATATTATGCAGCAGCAACCTAGTAGCTCGACATTTGCTTCCTCCGCTCAAGCAGAGATTTCATGCCGCAGTGGCTCCTCCAATCGCAAAGAACGCACTGCATTCACCAAATCCCAGCTGAAAGAGCTGGAAGCCGAATTCTGTTATTCCAACTACTTAACGCGATTGCGTCGCTACGAGATTGCCGTCGCGCTGGAGCTGAGCGAGCGGCAAGTGAAAGTTTGGTTTCAGAATAGGCGCATGAAATGCAAACGCATCAAACTGGAAGCAAAAGCGGCCGCTGATATGGTAAACGATTAGGCTGTACATAAAAGCATAATATTTATACATAACACAATTTTTCTTTTACACATTGTTTGCTAACTTATTTTAAATGGTAAATATATTACATCTAAATAAGGCGTTTTTTGCCACTCACTTCTTTAGTTTCTTGGTTTTGATCTTATTTAAAGATTTTGCCTGTTTCTTTGCATCTGCTAGCTGCAGCGTTTTTGTAGCTGCCTTCTTAGTTGGCTTGGCAGGAGCAATGATGTTTTTCTTCTTTTGAATGCCACCAGTTCCCGGCCTGCGTTTGATGAGCTCCAGTTGACGATCAACGCCTATTAATTTCTTTTGTGTTTTCTTGGGAGGCGGTGACAATTCTTCCTCCTCATCACTATCAGTGTCAGATTTCTCAGCTTCAAAACTTTCCTCTTCCACGTCATCGTCATTAATGCTCTCTTCGTAGTCTTCATCCATGGAATCCTCGTCCAGGCTGTTTCCCAATAAGTCCTCCAATTGTAGGTCTTCCTCGTCATCATCATCGCTATCATCAGACTCTAAGAACTCAAGTTCCTCCTCGCTTTCATTGCTGGAAGGCACTTGTTCATAGTCCTCATCATCAGAATCTTCATTTAAAGTATTACCCAACAAGGCAGACAGATTAAGATCTTTTTTTGATTCAGCCTTCTTTGTCGACTTGGAAACCTTAGCCACCGTGGTGGTATCGCTTGTTGCCTCTGCTTTCGTAGACTTTGCCACAGGCACATTAGACTGCTTAGATTTTTTTTCCGGCTTAATAAGCACGCCAGAGAAATCAATGCCTAGATGTTCATATTCCTTTTGGAACTTTTTAAGTTTTGCAAGTCCCTTAGTAATGCGCTTCTGGGATGCGGACTCGTCCCAATTATTTTGCGCATCTTTTCTACGCAATATGGATTTCGTTTTGTTTGATACAAAAATTTTCTTGCCAGCCTAGAAATAAGTATTGAAAAATGATTGACGCACCCCATGGCAATACTTCATTCTTGACTTACATTATTTGTGACTTGCCTCACAGAAGTCTTAAAGTAATTGAATTTTTGTTCCTCTGGTGGGATGTATGCGGCCTTGACCACTTTTTGGAACATGAGGTAGTTGTCCATGGTGTCGGCAGCAACTTTTGCCACTTCTGGATATTCAAACTCAACAAATGCAAATCCCTTACTACCGCCGGTTCGCCTAGACCGTGCCAGACGTAAACGTGTCACGCGCCCGAACTGCTGGAAATATTTGCGCAACTGATCTTCGAAAAAACCATGGGGCAAGTGCTTAACCAAGACTATTCCACGTTTTAGTTTCTCCACTGGCCGTTTCTTCGCCTTTTGCATTTTCTTTTTCAGCTGTAAAAATGGAGGCATACAGTTATTATTGCGGTATTCCGTGCCACAAATGCTGCGTTTTTATACCTGTCCAGAGACTACATCCTTAGTTTCATCGACTTTTTTAGTGGGAGAAGCTTGTTTAATATTTTGCGGCTTAGGTTTTTTTACAGGAGGCATCTTGAGTGTTTTAATGAATAAAAACAGTTGAGTATATATTCGCAAATAAAAGCGAACGCACGTGGAGCCAGTCTTAGTTTAGCACCTATCGATAAGTAATCGTGCGGTCTTCAGTGTTGGATAAAACGTTAAATATTGAAGCTACAGGTTTCACGACTGCGTGACAAAACTTCCAACCTCGTGAATCAGGATCGTGAACTCGGATGTAAGGCATCTGATCGAGCCAAAGGAGGTGGTATTATTACCAAGAAAATACGAAGAGCGGGTATGTTAAAAGAAAACGCAAACGTATTTATTTAAAAGGAAAGGAATTGCTAATTTTCGAAAAGTACGCAAAGCGGGTGATTTTACCAATTTATTGCTAAACTGCCTTTGCAAAGGAGTCGTTTATAATTCTTTCCGTTTTTGGTTTGTTTATATTTGCCGTTTTCATGTTACTTATGTACAATATTTGATTTTTATTACTGTTTTTTTTTTGTACGCGTGTTTTGTACTCTTTGGGAAAACTTACCATGGCGACCAACACGCCTCCGTCGTGTTCCGGCACCATGACAACTGTCCTCGGTCGAACGAAGCTGGTTGGACCTCTGTCGCCTTGTTTTATCAAAGGACCAACGAAATTGATTATACCCTATACTCGGGACTCGTTTGAACACCATCACTCCAAATTCGCAAGACGAATGCTGATTGATCTCGAGAGCTTAAACAGAAGTAAAGAACTTCCGAATTCGGTTCCGCTGAAATCTGAGCAAAACGAGAAGATGGCGATGTGCAACGAGCTGCGCCAACTCAAGCACGATGAGATAATAGAACGCAAACGTCGAATACAACTGCGTCAAGATTGTCACGAACTGCGAGAGCTGGCGGAGCAGTTGAGAGTAGCCCATATTAACAAGGATATTGCCGAAAGCATGGAACTTGGTGAGAAACGGAGGCATGCGGAGAAATTAGAAAGGGCGGAGAGTGCCAAGTGTGCCGAGAAGGAGCGCTTGAAGATATTGGCCATGGAGCGGGAGAAGGAAATGAAAAGGAAGGAAGAGCAACAGAAATTATATGCAACACTCTCGAATCAAGTCGATGAGACAAAGCGTCGACTGCAGATGGAAAGACAAGAAAAGATTGCGGATCGAGAGCAACGTTTAACATTGCAGCAAATCATAGAGGAGGAGAAAGCAGAGCAGCTAAAGGCGCAGCAACGAAAGATTGAAAATCGCAAGGAAATGCTGCAATATATTGAAGAACAAAATCGTAACAAAGAACGTCAGAGGGCTCTGGAAAGGGAAGATTTTCAAACGGCAGAACTATCCAAGCTTATTTATGACGAGAGGAAGGCCAAAATTAAAACAGAAATGTTGGAGGCACAGCGCAAGCATCAGGCGATAAGCATGCGAATCGGCCAGCAAGTCTACGAAATTGAGGTGAGTCAGAAGGATTTGTAGAATATCGTTTATTTTTTCGAACTACCGCCTACAGAGCCAAAAACGCCAACGCGACAGGGTGCTGACCGATCTGCTGCAGGAGGAGTACAAGGCTAGACAGGACGCACGCTTCCGGCAGCAGCTCGAGCAGCAACAGGAAGATCGCATGCGAGTTCGAAAGGAATTGGAGCGCTATCGTCACGAGCTCATGCAACGCAACCTGGAGAAGGAGCGCCTAAAACGCGAAGAGATTGCCGCTAGCAAGCTCGAATCTTACGATGTAATGGAGGCCAAGCGGATAGAAGATGAGAAAGCAAAATATCAGGAGCGCAAGAAGTATGGTAACATGCTCTTGTCAATGATGGAAGAGAATCAGCGTAGACGTGCCGAGGACACGGCTGAAAACGTACAAATATTCGATATGCTGGCAAAGGCTGAAGAAGAACGGTACGATAAGTCTTTTATACAGAACTGTTGTTACAGAAAATATAAAATTGTTCACACTTTCAGGCAAACATGCATTCAGGAGGAACGTCTCAGAATGCTAGGCAGTGTGCCACAGTCTGTGCTTCGCTACCTGCCTAAAAATGCTTTAACTAAGGCAGATCGTGAGCAAATAGTAATTCCAAAACGGCCGCAGCAATTTGGTGAGACATGGAAAGCTAGTCGAGAACAAACGAACATACTCAAAAGACAACACCTTGGCGGGGGCGATTCATAAAATGAAATACCATGACATGGCCTTAACTTATTGCTGAGGCTATTTTAAATTCCAAATATAATAACTAAAATCTTCAGCGTTATTTTTGTATTCTGTATTAGATTACGTATAATTTAAAACTCAACCGCCTGCCCGCCCACAATGCGTACGTGCGTACGTGGTCATACGCCAGCAGTCCTGCCAACTTTTCTCAATGGGCAGTGCCGCGCTGAGATGCCAGATAACATGGCTGCGTTCAGCATGAAAACAATGTGTAAAAACACTCGTCCAAAAGTGTATTACCACTTGAAAGGTATGCATTTCTAGATAGATTACACAATGATGAACAATATTAATAATTTCGTTAAACGAATTTATGTTTTAGGCCGACTTTTTAACAGACGCGCCCTTTTGTGCAGTCTGGCAGCCCTGTAATTCGATACCTCGATACATTCATAGCCTACGCTATTTTAGTTCAATGGCGGACAGTAATGAGAAAAGTGGGAGTGATCTTTTGTTGTTTTGCAGAAAAATACAAAAACTAAGTTTTACAATAATAATAAAATAATAGAGAGGTACATAAGCAAGGCGTTTCAATAATTGCAGTGTTTAGCAAAATGTTAAAGCAAGTGTTTAGAGTATATTGCGCTTAGAACGCGTCGTGTGCGAATCTGTGAAACAAAAACAAATAGGAAAAATTCCACAGACAACACAACAATAATATACGCGGAAGCACAGCGTTGTGTGCGTGCGCACAAACCTCAATAGAAAAAGAAAAACAAAACCAAGTGACGGGCGAACTTTGTACATTGTGTGCGACAGTGGCACTGTGCAGTAAAACGGAAGAAAATCTCTTTAAATTGAAATCGAGTTGTAACAAGAAACAAAGAAAAATGTCTGCGCTACGTTTAAACGCGGCCGAGAAGGATCTGGAAAAGTTTATCAAATTTCTGGCGCTGAAATCCACCCAAGTTGTGGTGCAGTCGCGCCTTGGCGAGAAAATGCAGACACAGTGCAATCCATTGGCAGGCAACGATTGGTTCAATATTGTCGTCCAAGATCATCCAGATGTATGCGACGAGACGAAGCGAGCCCTGGCCTTGAAGCCAGGGGAGAGCATTTTGCAACGTTTGCCGTTATGCGTTGAGATTTCGCTAAAAACGGTTGAGGGCGATCAAATGATATTGGAGGTGTGGTCGCTGGACTTGCTGCAGTCCGTAAATGGCACAACGAATAATGTAACGAACGGGACGACTAAGACTACGGACGATGGAAAGAACTCCGGCGATACCAACAACACCAATACTACTGGCACAGGGACAACAAATAATGGCACAAACGATTCCCAAACGCTACGAGCTGCTCACGCCATTTACAATCGCATGGGCATTATGCTCAAGTCCTTAATTTCGCTGACCCGCACAACGCCCGCCTATAAGCTGTCGCGCCGCCAGTGTCCGGAATCCTATGGCATCTTCTATCGCATCTATGTAGATCGGCCGCAAGTGCATACTTTGGGTGAGGGACACAAGCACGTTAAGATTGGGCAGCTCAACACAATTGTGGGCTCGCTGGTCATGTCTGTGGCGTATCGCACCAAGCTTACAATATCACCTACAGCGGCGCAGGCACGTCACACAGAGCACAACACGATTATGCTGAAGTCGGACCACTTCCGACCAGCTAACGATGTGAATTCGCCTACACAGCAACTCAGCTCGGCAGCCATGGCCAAGAAGTTGGGTGTGGGTGTAGGGAACGCTGGTACTGGTGCTGGTGACAAGCGTTACATAGACATAGACAAGCCTCTGCGACCGGGCGCTTTCACGGATATGGGAAAATTGCGTCAATATACCGAGGATGACTTTGTGCTGCCGGAGACACCGCCATTTGAGTGGCTGCTACGTCGCCAGCGGCATGAGAGTGCGGGCAGTGGTTCTATTGAATCGCTCAATCGCAAATGCGAATCACCCGTCAACGGGCAGCGTGTGGACCAGGCCAATAACAACAACAATATCATAAATAACTTAAACCACAGTGGTGGTGGTGGAGGTGGAAATAGCAATCTCAACAACAATTCAATGGCATTTAAGAGCTTCGAAAAGCAAGCGTCTGCCGCCGACTGTAAAATTCAAATAACCGCCAATTCAACATCCCCAATTAAAAGTCTGCTAATACCCGCACCCGCATCGTTTCGTCACAATTCGGCGCCCACGCTACAGCAACAGCAGCAGCAACTCGCGAATTCGCACAACGATGACGATAATCTGCTCAAGGAACTGCACTTCCCCTTCGCCTCACCCACCTCGCACGTCAATGATTTGGCTAAATTCTACCGCGACTGCTACCATGCGCCTCCCTTGCGGGGCCTTAACGAGCTTCAAGCGGAGGTAAGCACAGCGAGCTTGGCAGCCACTGCACAACCAAATGGCGTGGGTGTGGCGCCTGTCTGTGGATTAAGTGCAGCAGCTGCTGTTGGCAACAGTGCGTCAGATGCCAGCGCCATGGATGATTTGTCACGGCAATTGGCCGAATTCGAAACATCGCTAGAGGATTATGATAAACTGGTATCACAATTCGGACTAACCGGCTCTTCGTCCACAGGCAGTCGCAGCAGTGGAGGCTTGCAGATGAGCAATTGAGTCGGCGTCTGTAATTTTACATTGTGTAGGTCGTCGTTGCTCTCGAATAGAAGGGGCGTAACTCAATAAGTTCATCAACAAATGGGTACTAAAAAGAAGATCTAGAATACTAGAAGAAAAGTAAAATTTAAAGACTTGTTACGATCCTTGCTCTGAAAGCTCATCTTGAAATTTAGTATTTGAAAAACAAATAGAACAAAATATATTTTGAAAGGTAAAGTTTCTTCAAAAGACTGAGTTACATCTTTTTCTATTTGGGATCATCGACTTGTTCATATTGTTGTTATTTTATTCTGTATAATTGCTGTTCGGTTTAGTCCTTATTTAAAATGAGTCTGGCTTGTCTTTCATGTGTCTATTAGCAATATGTATGTTTAGTTAAGTTTGTACGCTGCTATGATATTATGTTAGTGTCACACCATTTATAGGCTATGTAGTAGCTCTTTGTACATATATATACACACACACACACATTATACATATACATACTATATATGCTGTGTACACTGCGATAACGGTGTCACGTTTAATTCATTTAAATGTATTTATGTTTAAGTTTAAGCGCGCGTTGTGACGCTCTCGTGAGTCCAAGCGAGCTCGTGACTTTGAAGGTTCGTACATTCGCGTCATTTAGTCAGTCAGGCAGTCTGTTTATTTGTTTCTTTGTTCAAGTGCCTTTTGCCTTGTGGAAATTGCCGTAAATAAAAAAATGAGGGAAAGAAAATAAACATGTACATAGATATGATTAAAATGCGGTGCAGCGAAAAAAGTTGTATCTTAAATATCCAATTATAAGTATCAACGTACATATAAATATATATATAATTACAAACACATAGCGCGTCTTAGTACTAGTATAGGGTTATTTCATTTCGCATCAAAGTTAGTTTTAAGTAGTTGCTGATTTAGTAACGGTTGCCTTTTTTTACAAAAATAATATACAAAATATGCTGTAACCCCACACACCTATGTATGTATGTACATTTGAATAGTTCTAACGAAGAAATAGTCCTGAAAATGTTTACAAAATGACCAAAAACCTGTGTTGCCAATCGATTTCCTTCTAATGGTAAGAGAACAGTCGGTTTGTTATCCTAATTGAATCAAAGAATATACAGTCTTACACTGTATCATCAATAATCATAATGCCGATTTGGATATGAAGGATCCCTCAGAGTCTGAAATATTCCAAAAAAAACCGCCATAAATTCGTTGAAAATCGATTGGATATTATGGGTTTTGTTAAGTGTGTATGTACATATGTCTAATGAGCACCCAAAAGTTCTCCGTTTATAGGTTATTTTAACAGTTAAACTATCCAGATGTATATGCCTACCTAAAAAATAAAGATCTGTGCCAATAAGAAGCGGACTTTTTGAAAACTAATACAAATAAGTAACACTAATCAAGCGCACATATTTATACTGAAATATATTTCTATTAACATTGAATTTTCCAGTCCCATTGCAATTGACACAGATCTTGTAAATACGTACACATAGTACATACTATATATAAGAAACTGTTGCTTTTAATAAGATAAAAAGAAAACGAACGTAACTAATTAACAATGTCAAACGAAAGACTCTAAGCATAACGAAATACATATTGGATTCATAGAAAGAAAAGGCAACAAATAGCCTCAAAGAGCTCAACAAAAAATTGCACGCAAACATTGGCCAAAAATTAAGATGGGAGCGTAGGTGTTAAAAGTGTAAAAATATATTATATATTATTATTATTTTGTAATACCACGCTTTGTTATTTATATATTTGTTTAAAAATGAGAATTGCCTCTGCATAAGAAACTGAAAAGCTATGTATGTATGTACATTTATTTGAAAATATTCAGCAACATTATCGAGAAAACTACATACGCAAAAATAAAAGCAATTGTTAATCAACACACAAAAAATTAACGCCTTGATAATTCATTTTTTAGCACGTCGCACTGGCGCCTTATTTGGGGCCAAGGGAGGGTGGAGGGGGCGTGTTATTTGCACTTGAAATGCGAGCGAATATGGAACAATGAAATACGGCGGTCTCTGATAGAGAATAAGTCACTTCTGGGCCCTGAAATGTTCACGTTCTACTGAGACTATACGTTCCCATAAAAACAGAATTGAAACTGTATAATTCCGTTGCTTTCTGTAAATATATGGAATCTAAAATTTTAAATCCATTTATTATTTTCAAGTACTATTTTCTAAAAGGAAAGAATGATCCTGAAAGAATCCCTAAGAGTAGCTGCGGCGGATGATTTAAATTTCCATTAAATAAAATGTTATGTATAATAAAAGTCAGAACAATTGTATAGTAAAGGGTATAGTCTTTAAGATATAGTAACTATAGATAGTAATAGATATATAGTTTTATCATTATCTACCGATTGCCATTCTTCAGGAACTGTACTTGCTATAACTATTGGAAGCTCTACTGTTTCGAAGAGAGAGCTTTAAAAGAAAATAGTTTATCGCTTGGTATGCTATGAAATGAATAGTCAGTCTAAATATGGATTTAACGGTCATTGATCTCATTGAAGGAAATTTATATGTCCTTGTAAAAAAACAATATCTGTTTTAGCTGTAGCGTATGAGAATTATTGATTGAACTCATGTTTTGATAAAAGCAAAAAAACATTTCTTTACAATGCCAAATCTAATCGATAGTCTTATCGGAGAAGCAGTCCATTCCGTTAAAGGCCCTTAAGTAATAATGTATGCTGATAAAAACAATGTATGGGGTATTTGTTTATAGGGGGTGTTACTTAGAAAGTCCACTCTAACCAAAACAAGCCAGAATTCTGCTTAAGTTTCCAGATGTTTGAAAAAGAACAAATATAATCCGAATCTCTAGATCTGACCTGGTTGCAACATATATGTATATGTATATACATAAGTACCTAGTTACCATAGAAACAATTGAATTAGGCTTTAACAGACCTTCAGTTTGAGCCCTTCTACAATAGCAAAAGAACATACTCATATATTACAACAAATTTCATAATTAATACACTACCAGACACTTTTCAAACACTATCGTGATTTGTTTAGCACATGTGAAACCAAAACAAATTGTTTTAAGATTCTTTACATACATACATACGTTGCAACTATTCCAAATTTACATCTACAAACATTCAATTATTATGTGTCTATTATTTTGTTAATGAGTGTACTACAGACATATTTATGCATGTAGATATGTACATATACAAATACATATGTATGTGTATACACATATGTATGTATGTACATATGTATAATATTGATGAGCATTTGAGTGCAATGCAGGTGCAACCGCTGTATGAACACTGTCCATATTTCTATGTGTGTATGTATGTACACACTGATGTTGTGTTTTTTTAAACATTTTTGTTGCGCTTGTGAAAATCTTCACCTGTAGCTACTGCTTCGTTACTTGTTTCAGCCGGTTATCAGTATTTTCCATTTACATACTCGTAGATTTGTTTGTATATTAATATGTATGTATGTGTGTGTTTACTTTTGTGTACCAGCGTTTTACTTAATTTGCAGCAATTAAATATTGTATAATAAACGTCAGTGTTGTTATTGTTGTTGTTGGAGCCTTCGCCGCACACTGACGGCAAGAGCAACAACAATGACAAAATAATCAACAGCAAGTGTTTGCATTGTGCCGTTATCAATTAGCACGCGATCCAAGCTCTCATCACAAAATAGTTCGCTCTCTTCTCTCACGCTTCCTCTGTTTACGACTTTGGCGATCTTTGTGCATTTTCTGTTTTTATTTTGCTCTTTGCTTTTTGATTTTGCACCCGAAGCTGAATTGGCGTCATTGTGGCAACGACACGGCTGAGGTTAAATATGTAGTTTTATTTTTAACTATTTTATTCTGTTGTTTTCACCAGATCGCTTATCTGGGGTTTGTTGCTATTTTTTGAGTGCTAATAGCATTGCCACAGCACTGAACACTTACACAGATATGTATGTACATACATACATACATGGGCAAATAGCAGCTGCACACACGTGCGTGGGGTGCTGCGAAAGTAGTCCAAAAACTAACGACTATGTAATCGATTTCATTTCCATTTGATGTATAACTAAATATATTTGAAATATCTCTAGAACATTACGTATTTAATATTTACTTATTTTATAATATATAATACATATTTCTTTGCTTTTATTGTATTTGTTTCGTTTTACTTATTTGTTTCAATATTTAACTGTTGGTATTTTATACAGCGCTAGAAATTAAAACATTTCAAATAAAAGAAAGATTTGTTCGTTTATTATGGAGTTTATTCAACTCAATGTTCTATAAAAGTGTTAATCCCTTCATATCTATTTGAAATTCGCATCAGTTGGACTCATGTATACCCTGAAAACGCTCTCCTCCCCACTGTCCTTCAACTAAAATTGACTTTGTTGCAACAATCGTCCCTAACCCAGCTGGATAACATAGTGACTTCGATTAAACTTCAGATTATGGTAAGGCATTCGTTATAAGCATATCGGTCCTATGACAGCTACGATATGTAACTACACCCTACTGGGTATACAAATCTACAACTGGTAATGTTTTTAGACACTAAATAACTAACTTTGAAAGCAGCCCACGATGGAAGCAGTTGATCAACAGAGGTATATACAAAACACTTGTCACACATGCATATACATACATATTATATAGTATGTATATACATATATAACAGTTTTGTTGTTGTTTTTCTTGCTTTGTTTTTAATTGTTCGTTTTGCTATTTTCGCCTTGCTGTTGTTGCCATGCGCCCGGCGCTAATGAAAATACAATTTGGCATTTGGCTTTGTATACTGTCTTGGGTGAAAACGGCTAGACATACACACACACTCAAACAAATATACATATGTATGTATGTGTGTACATGCATCAATTTTATTAAACTGGCTAGTTATGGTTAAAGTAACATTGCTCGTCAACTTCCACACCAACACTTTCCGCTGCCCCCACAAAGGCTGTACGTAGGTCGTATGCGTCGCCGTTTTGGTTACCACAACCGGTAAACTGGCTAGTTGCTGGTTGGTTGGGTTGGTCGACTTGCATTGGATATCAGCTCTCTCTTTTGCACCCACGCAGATAAATCGAATAAATTCAGCCAGCTGGCAACCGCTTTTTGAATAAGTTCACGTGCCGAGGCAATAAGAGCTTTAAAAGTGCATGTACAAGTATAAGTAAAGAAAAAAAGACAAAGGCAAGGTGTTTCGAAATCGCACGATAAGCAAACAGCTAAACAATAAGGCCCCAAAATTCAATGAGTCGCATTGCGTTTTTAAGTTAGGCAAACTTCTTTTTATGCAATGCGCATATTTGGAATTTTTATGTAAAGCAGCTTACTAGCTGCCTACTTGTTAACAGTTTGGGAGCCACTGGTTATGCAGATTATATTTTTCGTGCAATGGAAAGCAATGCAGCCGGCTTATGTACATAAGTACTCGTATGTTTGTATGTATGTATGTTTGGCACATGCCCACTTATTCATCTATCTACATGGTATATACGAGTAGATATGTTCGTTTGTACATACATATGTACATATATACATACCTTTTCTCAGAATAATTATTTTGTAAATGCTGTATCATGAATTAAATTTGTTGTTGATTATGATTGTTCCCATTAGTCATTAAAATTAACTTTTTAATAGCACATAAAATATCAGAAATTATTTGTTGCGCTAATATCAAACCACAATTTTACCAACATTTAAATGCAAATTGTTTCCAAATCGCTAGCAGTCCCCATTAATGTCCCCAGCTAGGATTTGCAAAAATAAAAACGGTCAACAAATTCATATACATACATATGTATGTATGTATATTTTTTTCAATATATTTATTTTCAAGTGCAACATTTCATTTGGTTAAGTTTTTAAATATTTTGCATTGCAATTAATTTGAACCACTGTACATAGATACAAACATACATATGTAAGTATGTACAATCATATTTATGTATCTATAAATACACACATGTGGCTATGTTGAGTCAACTGCATATTGTTGTTGCTTATCTTGTTGCCGGTTTTGTGCACAGCTGCACAAATAAATAGCAAAAATGCATTTAATTTTAGACGCCCACAATATGCGCTGACAACTCTATTTGGGTTCCTCACTGTATATTGTAATATAATTATCATTTAAAAGATGTTCACTGGGCTTTGGGCTTGGCAGTTGACTCGCCACACATTTTACAAATTCGATAAGCAAACAACACCATTAAATGTAATTAAATTACGGCGCCTCGACTTGTGTTGCTACGTGCCGTTTGTCAGGCTGAGGCGGTGACAGTGGAAGAATTTGTTGTAGCTTTTGCCTCCACGCCCACTTTGGCGACCTTGCCGGCACCTTCCTAGCCTATGTTGATTTTTGTTGTTGCCAGAAAACCGCCGACAAAATAAAAACAATCTGATGATACGAGCATATGCGTAACATGTAAACAAGTCGTTGATCAATTTGAAGAATTTTTCAAACAGATCGAAATCTTGCAGGCAGGTATTTACCCAATGAAGAGCAACTAACTGACGTTCCCTGCATAACGCAAAATCATTAAATCACATAGAATATATGTGCACTCGAAAGAATGCAATATGCAGCTGTAAAAACAAGGAAAAACAAAATTGATTACCAGAACAGTTGGCGGAAGCGTAAGTATTAAAAAAAATTCAATAAGAGGCATTTCATTAGAAATAAACGACCATATGTGCAACACATATACATACATATGTATGTATGTATACAACGAACTATATATATCTATATTTATGGCGTTTATTAAAATAAACAACGCCTAAATGAACTGTTATCTAGCATATAAACGTTATAGGAGATTGGCAAATACGTTTAATGTGTTGTGTGTAATTACATTTCAATGTCAAAAGGGGTTCCTGTCGTGCTATTTGACATTTAGAACTTGTTTATAAACAAAATTTATATATGTATGTATGTGTATTTGGTATTTAAAGCAACTAATAAACCGACTGATAAGAGCAGCGGCTTTAAAATAATTTTTAATAAAAATCACGTTTGCTGATAAGACACAAAGTGCTACATAGCTTATCTAGTCCCTTCGGTTATATGTGGCGCCATATTGAAAAACCAATTGAGTCATGCTTAACCGTTTCGTTTCTTTATATTTAACATTGGCTTTCAATGTAATATGATGATAATTATGTGTCATACATGAGTTTGAATATTGCGCAATTGCGATAACACGATTTACCTGAAAATCGATTCAATTGCAGATGGCAATAGGGCTGCCACTTTCAATATCTTTATATGTTAAGATCTATAAAAATGTATTGAATTTGAGAACCTGTTATAGTTGCATACTATAAATTTGAAAAAATTTTAAGATTTATGTACTTTTTCTTTTAACGGAAACGATAGTACGATATCAAATGTTACCTGAGTAATCGATTATTCCTCAGCAGATAACAACGCGATGTTGCCACACCGCATGCATATCTGTCAAAGTAAACGTAGCAATTGCTAAACGAAGTGGAATTTTTATTAAATGAAATTAATTAAGCTTAATTAATCAACCAAAGGGAGTTTAATAGGTAAATGAGGGTGACAGCTTCTGCAGTGATATCAAATATCTTTGCAGCAACAAATACTTTTGGGTTAAGCCAGTGAAATTCCTTGCATCCCAATTTGGCAAGATCAAGATTCGATTCGCAAACAACTTGTGGTTGTTGTTTTCGCTGTTGCCATTGGATGCTCAACATACTACACGACACTTATAACTTTTTGTTTGCAGTGTTTTTCTCACCGTGAGCTGCAAACATAGTGCGCATACGTACGCAATTGATTGACGACGGTGCAACAAGTGAAAGCCAAATATCAACTATGCCACCCGTGCAGTAAGCAAACCAAAATCAGAGCAAAATCCCTAAACAAATTATTAATGCCAATTGCTTAACCTTCGTCGTCTGTGCATCATTACATCACAATCACCAACATAACGCCTAGTAGTTTACAATTGACCTAAATTCGTTGGCAAAGTGCTCAAACATTTGCTCCATTCCGTTGGCCGAGGTGCTGGGTGTACTAAAATAATGCAAAATATTTAACTACACAACAGTATAATTATGAAATCCAACTTACAATTGCATTTAAGGATAACAACTGTACAGGGCATTTACTTTTCTGCCTTATTGTGGCTCCTTGGAGCGTTTATGTATCGCTGCATTCCATCGAAGTTGCATTTTGTGTGCCGTTTATGCGCCAGATGTTTACTTCATCGATGACGTCATGTGGGCACATTCAAATTTATTTATAGTCCCCGCACATGTGTGCGCGTGAGTGTGTGTGTATTGTTTACCCATTCATATCTGTGCTGAAGCGCGCGCCACTGTCTGTCTATGTGTGTGTGTTTGTGGCTAACTAATGAGTGGGCTGCTTGTATGTATGTTAATCACCTTCCTTTCATTCTTACTCCACATTCCTCCATTGGGAGGAACAGCACACATGCTTACTTTCCAAAAGGCGCACTTCAACTGCTTCGCACGAAGAATGCGATGTCATATTTATCGTGTTGAATTCCAAGCAAGGAATGCAAAGCTTTTTCTTGGCTGACATTCGTCAGAAATATGAGAATGAATCAGCATGCCTTGCTGGAACGCTTGATAAGCACACCGCGCCAGCCAATTGCTCGAACTCGAAACCGAACCTCTCTCCAGTTGCATTTCTCACTGCCAACGCCGCTGTAGTTACACTTTACATATACATACATAAATATTATTAAATTCGTAACCATGATGTACTCCAAAGCTGAAGTGTAATTGCTGATCCCTAACAAATATCCCCAATATACGACAAAAATTGCATCTCCTTGATTTTGTTTCACTTCCAGAGTACAGGCCATCAACATGTCGCTGGGCGCGATGCATTGCACGCGCTGCGCCGACGGCTTCGAGCCCAACGAGAAGATTGTCAACTCCAATGGCGAATTGTGGCATACGCAGTGTTTTGTGTAAGTATCTGTCTCAATTCGGACTATTCATCTTCCATATCACAATCCTGACTAAATACAATTAAAAGATGCAAAACATTAAAATTCTACTGCTTATTTTGGATTTCTCCACAGCTGCGCGCAATGCTTCCGGCCTTTCCAAGATGGCATCTTCTACGAGTTCGAGGGACGCAAGTACTGCGAACGCGACTTCCATGTCCTTTTCGCACCGTGCTGCAACAAATGCGGCGAATTTGTCATAGGACGCGTCATCAAGGCCATGTCAGCCAGCTGGCATCCACAGTGCTTCCGTTGCCAGTTGTGTGCCAAGGAGTTGGCCGATTCCGGTTTCATACGCAATCAAAATCGTGCGCTATGCCACGAATGCAATGCCAAGGTGAAGGCCGAGATAACCGGTCGCTATGTATGCCAAAAGTGCCAGTAAGCAGTATTAAAAAGATAGTTAAGCTTGAAAATATGCTAACATCCAGTACTTTACAGCGGACTCATCGACGAGGAACCTCTGCGCTTTCGTGGCGAGGTTTATCATGGTTATCATTTCAATTGCACGGCCTGTGGCACTGAGTTGGACTCCACAGCCAGAGAGGTTAAGAGCCGTCCAGGATTGGCGGCTAATGATATGGTGCGTATATATATGTTAGTTGCTAGAGATAAGAACTCTTGATAGTATTCTCGGGCAGTATTCCCTAAATGTTGAAAGCATTTTGAATATACTTCCTTGCTAGCTGTAAACTGTGCAAATAGTTTAATAACCGAAATGAATTTCTCTTTCACAGAACGAACTGTATTGCTTGCGTTGCCATGACAAAATGGGCATACCCATTTGCGGTGCCTGTCGTCGACCGATCGAGGAGCGTGTGGTCACTGCCTTGGGCAAGCACTGGCATGTGGAACACTTTGTATGCGCCAAGTGCGAGAAACCCTTCCTGGGACATCGGCATTACGAAAAGCGTGGATTGGCATATTGCGAGACGCATTATCATCAGCTCTTTGGCAACTTGTGTTTCGTCTGCAATCAGGTTATTGCGGGTGATGGTGCGTAGCTTCAATTATATGTCTAGACATGTCTTGCTAAGCATTGTTATCTTACAGTTTTTACCGCCTTAAATAAGGCCTGGTGTGTACATCACTTTGCCTGCTCCGTGTGCGATACGAAAATGACGCAAAAATCCAAATTTTACGAGTACGATGAAAAGCCCGTGTGCAAGAAGTGCTACGATCGTTTCCCCAACGAGCTACGACGTCGTCTGCGCGACGCCCATGAGAATACCATGAAGAAGAACGTCTAGATCCGCACACACGCAAGCATATACAAAAATATGTGTAAAGTCAAAGTGCGTTCTGGTCGCCGCACTGTCGACGACTATTTCAATATTAGCACAAATGCGCCTTAGTTTCTGTTTGTAGTTGTCTTTGTCGTTGTCCACTTATGTCGCTCCTAACACTGAAGCATTTTTAATTTAACCCCCAGGATGCTCCTAATATAGTTTAAATGTAACAGTCAAGCATGGCAAACTTTTGTGGTTTGTGAGGAGTTCGCTTTTTCCGCACTGTATTTTGTTTGTATGTAATTTCTAATATGTATGGCAAAGATGTATTAACAGCTTTTAATGTTGTTATTTATTTGAACTTAATTTATGTATGTTTTTAATATATACCTATGATTGAACATATTTATATGTATAGTCGGTCTCGAAGAATTTGCTTTGCTTTATTTGTAAACCCAACTCAAAGTTGCAAAAAGGTGCCAAAAATGAGGCAAAAATTCAAATTATGCGCAATTGGTGGTTGCTTTTCTGGCTTATTGCATTTAAATTTAGAACCGTTATTTGCAAAGTAGCATAAAAGTGTCGCCGAGATCGAAAATATAATTTCCATTTGATAAATGTATACAACAATGTAACTCAGAATATGCCTTAATGTTTTTATATCGCTGTAATAAAAAATTTGTAGAAAGCCAAAACGATTACAAATTATACGATTGTTTATATTTTTCATTCGGAAGCATTCATAGTTATGATATACAACAGACAATAACAACATCCATATCAATATATCGGTATCAATAAATAAATGGGGTGATGAATAGTTTGGAGTCGTATTCAATTACTGATCCCCCAATTTGTTGAGCAGCGCTTCCAAGGCGTCGACATTTCGTACAGCAATAAGTCCGCCCGTATTGCGTTTCCAGTCCCCTTCTTCTGCATCTTCAGCAGTAGCCGTATAGTTCAGAGGGATCGCCTGTTGCTGCTTTACGCTAGCCTTATAGTCGTAAATATTGCCTCCTAGGGCGCGTAGTATAGCCTGCGGAGCACACGTGTCCCATTTGAAGGTGGAGGCTTTGCTGAGCACATAGACGTCCACCTCGTGGGTGAGCACCTTTAGGGCCTTGTGTCCCGCGCCAGCCGAAAAGGCAATCTCATAGCCCAGCTCAATAAGATTCTGTAAAATGTCCGACTGTTCAGAGCTTGAGAAAATGCAAAGCTTACGATGCTTGTCGCGCGCCTCAAAGTTGCAATTGTGTGCCTGTAAGGTGGACAAACAAACACCCCAATACAGCGATGTCTTATAAACATGTTCTTCCAGCTTTTTTCCAAAGGGCTGGGCAACAATGCCTATTACAGGTACTCCCGTGTCCCGTTCATAAACGCCGATGAGCACGGTTACGCAGTCTAGACCCGTTGAGGTAATACCTGGGAAGTTTGTGAAAATTGTATCGCCGGAAATATACTCGGCAGTGGCATCTGGAAACACGGATCAATCATCTTTGATATATGTATTTGGACAAACTGAAAGGGTACCTCAGTTACGTACCGATGGGATCAATCCAAACGCCCAGATTATTGTAGTCCAGCTGCTCAGGTAGCTCAGGTAGATCGCCCAGTTCCAGTTCAGTTTCGGTGTTGACAACGCGATGCACCTCTGCGGCCAAAGCAGCCGCTGCCTGTTCATGTCCAGTGAGCACCGACTCCAGACAGGCTGTGGTGTCCTTTTCGGTGGCACCCACGGCTATGGTGACATTTTCATCCAGCTTATTAGTGAAATTTGGCGACTCCTCGCCTAGTATGGCTTCGCGCATAGCTGGAAACTGTGGAAGCCTTAGTATAACATACAGAATTGATAAGGAAATTGCGTACCCAAGTTGCAACATCATGTTTTATAGTCTCCTGAATTAGCACATCAGCTAGCGTCTTGAAATCATGTTCAAAACGCGCGTTGGCCTCTGCTCCGGTCTTTTCCTGTACCAAAAGGTTCAACAAATCTTCGTTGGAGCGACACAAGCGCGCAATGTTTGCCGCTTTCTCGGCGCAATTGATTAGCACACGCAGCAGATTTACACTGTCGCCGACGTCACACATTGCATTTAATTCTTTTGCCACTGTTGATGATTCGTACTACTTTTTCTCTCTTTTTTTGATTTAGAATCAACCCGCCCACAGCACCCACGCTCGGTTTCCAGCTGCGTAATATTTCTTGAGGATTATTTCATAGCACACTTTTGAGGTTTCAAGAATAAGTGGGGTTGCCAGTTGTGTTAGTGATGGCACTTTAAAGCAGTTCTCGTTTCTTTGATATGGCAGCACTGTAAAAGGTGCGATGCAGTTAATACACACACATATGTACATACATAGTTACTAAGGAGTGTAATAAATTAAAGATGCCAATTTAATCAATATAATTTATATTAATGTTTCGTTTTGAATGAATGTTATTTAAGCTCAATTTATGTAAATTGTTTTCAAATTGTTTCAGTGAAGTGCTTACAGCTTCCAAATTATTGGCATGCCAAGCCACGATCTTGAGGAGCTTTCACATCTTCATTGCAACCATTTTAATTGCCAATTAAAAATTACGCACTCACCGCCCTTTTGCAGCATATATGTGTGTTTGTGTGTGTGTGTGTGTGTATGCGTGAGCTATGAATTAAACCAGTGTGGAACGGACAAAGCCTGTGGTTTTGCTGCCGCTGCTACATAATTTGCACCCGATCTTATCAACGAGCACTGCTAATGATTCGCATTAATGATGCTGCATACAAACACACACACACACATGTAGTTGGACAGTGCAGCGCGCTTGCTCGCTCGCTCGCTCGCTCTTGCACTTTTGGCATCTTATGAAATGAGACCATCAATCAGCTTGCCCGCTCTGCGTCCGAGCGCATTTGCATATAAATTGCTGCTAATGTCGCGCTATCAAAGTGACTGCATCAACGACGCATTCCAGCCATTCCCAGAGTTTGGCCCTACGGCCCAGTGTGCACCGGTTTATTGCGTTTGTTGTAGTTGTTGTTTTGGTTGTTGGTATGGTTGTTGTTGCTCTTGTATTACTTGGCTTATGCTAATTTTCCCAGGCATCCCAGTCGAGCAGCATTGATGTTTGGATAACGTTGACTTGATGACTTTGCATAATTTACGCGAACCAAGCCAGCCAAGGCAGGCAAATGCCAAGGCACCACCAGCACCAGCACCAGCTAAACATTTTTGGCGGCTTTGGGTTAATTTTTCACTCAACCACGCGCGTTTCTTGTAATGTGTTAATATTTATGCAGCCAACAACAACAACATTGGGAACAACAACATTTCCCGTTTGTCTTTTCAGTCGCTTTTGACATTTGACGTTTCAATTTCATTCTCCCAACTCTGGCCAACAATTTTTCAACAAAGTTGCGCCCGCTGGCACTTTGTTGGACATTTTTCATCAACTCTGTTTGCCCCATTTGTCAAATTTTACATTTTTACATATGTATTTTACTCTCTCTACACTCTACACAAAGCTCTCATTTTTGTCTGTATTTCTCTCATATGCAAATCGCGTTTGTAAATAATAATTGCGCCTTTTGCCGTTTTCCGTTTTTGTGTTTGTGCAGATATTTTGATAATTTTTAAACCAGACAAGCATTTGTCATTCTTTTACAAAATTATGAGTGAGACGTCGCTCTTTGTAAGCAGAGAGGAAAGCATGCAACTTATTTAAGTAAATGTAGAAATTTTCTTTTTTCCCGACCTTTTGATATTGCTAAGACTCGATGTATTTAGATTGAATGGGGCATCTTTTATTTCAAAGTCCTGCAGTGAAATCTGAACAAGATCGGAGTAAATATATTTTACTGAAAATCGCTTTCTTACACATACTTTAATGAGAGTGGAAAATGTCTTGAATTTTCTCTACAAGTACATCAAGTGTGTCTTGAAAAGAATTAAGAAAATTGTTTAATTTTCGGCAATTTATTTTGCGATGAAGGTACACAAGAATTCAAGAATTATATTTGAAAGGCACATTTAATTGGACCTTTAAAAGTTTTCAAAGACCTTTCCGATCATATCTGATTACCATTTGCTAATGAATGAGCTTGGAAATTTCATTACAAGTTCATAATATTCTATCTGAATCAAATACAAGTAGTCTGAGGAATCTAAATCAAATATCTAGTCCGGAAAACGTTCTTCTATGACAACCCCTAACTATGTTGTTTCAAAAGATCTTCTCTTAGCTACTTTCAAAAGCTTATCTACTTTAATTATTTTATTGCAAATGATGAAACATGCCATTGCCCTTGATGCTTAATGATTCGATTAACGTAAAAATTGATACTTTAGTTCTGCTTGATCTGAGACTTGATACTCGCTCTCTGTAGCTTAATCTGATACGGGAGGTTTGTTGTCGAAATCTTTTGTATTACCACAGCCATACAAACTGTAAAACTAAACAAATAAATTAATTAAAAGTGTGTTGGTTTTGTTTTTCTATAACACATTTACATACCTACGGATTATTGCAAGACATTGTTGTTGCAGTTGTTGTTTTGTTGGTTTCATTTGTTGTTGATATTCGTTTCGTGCCCTTTTCCCATCTAACAGCCTTTTAATTAATCGCTTGAGCTAAACAAATTCCTAATGAGTCTTTAATTAATCGCCAAACACGAAATGTGCGACTATCTTAGTCCGACTACGTACAGTGCAGCCTCGATAGTTCGCACACTCTATGTTAGGGACAATGCGTTAATTCGAACATACATTTCATTTCCATTGTGGACTGTTATTTATCAACTTAGAATTGTGGAATTGGAATAGGAAATTTGTAGTTGTCCTGTCTCTTTCTTTTAAAAGTGCCTTTGGAAGTTAGCCTTAGAGCAGCTTTATGGTTTAGAAATTAGTGTTTTGAAAATAGTATTAGTTTAAAAAATGGAATTGATTTGTTCTAACAGTATTAGACTCAAATAATGGCACAAGTACTTGTAAGAGGTACATTTTTCGATCTGAATAAATTGTTTACAAAAATAATGAAATAAAATGTGGATTAAAAAAAACTTATTTTCTTATAAAGGCATGATATGCTGGCAAATCGCCTCCACAAAAAACAAGGATAATTAAAAAGCAGACACACACAAAAGGTATCAGGGAATTAACGGGAAAACTATGGCCCGAAATAAGGTCTTTAATTGCTTGAGGTGCACCAGCTAATGCACCGAAAAATGAGCAATCTACCACCACTTTGAGTCCCACAAGCCAGCACATTCTTTAAGAAACAATAAAAATCCTTTAATCAATAAAAATAAGTCCAGCTTTCTTCTATGTACTGTCCGTATATGTCTCGGCAATTCGACAGAACACAAATTGTCCGCCTTATTGAGGCTATGCTTTATGCATATGAGGCTTAAATATTTAAGTTTGTTTTGACTCGAGTTTGTTATGGCCCTCTGTATTGGACGAGTATCCAGCTACCAGCCATTGAGCTTCGGCTCCACCTCTGTGTTGATTTAAACGAGTTTCAACGCTTCTAGAAATGTGTTTAGCTTTTGTTTTACATTCTTTGGCGCTGCATGTCACTGATAACTTGATTGTTTGTTTTGTTAATAAACAAAATGTGTGCTTGTGTTTGTCTTTAATTTATGCCCGTGCCCGCGTTGTGCTTCATTAGTTGAAGCTGCCAAGCGGTTTCTGGGGCCTAATGAGCCAGAAGGGGCGTTCCCTCGAAAGCCAAACAAAACACTTAAATTTATTAACTACTCTAAATATTTGTCCCTGGGGCGTATACGTAACCAAGTCAAGTTGCAAAATGTCTGACCGAACTTGTCTTTGCCAATTTGCGATTGGTGCAGCGATATTCGTTCGATTTCTATTGCCGGCGATGCAATTCGTGCTGCTGCCACCTCCCAATGCCACAACTCTCATTCAATGTTGCATGCTCCACGTTGCGCCCCGAGCGTTGTATTTTAGTTGGCGAAAGCTGAGCTTCTCTGTCATTGCGGCTGTGGCTGTCTTCTGCTTAATTTATTCGCTCTGAGGTGTTTGCTTTTTACACTTATTGGCAGCTGAGTTGTGGCGGTTCTCGTTTCTTTAGTTTCTTTGCCATCGTCGTTTGCTTTGAATGATTGCTATATAATTAAACTTTTGCACATATTTGCATATCAAGTTTAATTGCTTCGCTTAATTGTTTATATGTCGCGCATGTTAAGCCATATTTTAGCAGGAGTGGTGCTTATTTATTTTCAGATTCTTCTTGTAAATCGAGTTATAGAAAGTAATAGTTTCAGTCTTTTAGTTGCAAAATATAAATAAACATTTTATTGATTGGATATACATTGATTTTAAAATGCAAAACAAATGATTGCCACTCAATAAGAATTCCAAGGACAGCCATTTGGAGAAAATAAAGAAACAGTTCGCGTTTTTTAAGTCGCAAATTTGAAATTTTATTAACTTGTTAGAAATAGAAAATATTTGAAATATGAAAAAGGTATTATTCAGAGTAGGTCTGCTGAGAGAAAACATTATTTTAAACATTATATCACTACTTTAGTAAGAAAAGATATGGGAGTACTTGGATTTATTAAAATGGATTGATTCCTATACAACTAAATACCTGTTTGGTACCAAGCTTTTGGCGACCGAGTCGGTCCAGAAACAATTACTTCTTTTCGGAAAGTAGAACAACAAGAAACTATCTGCTCTTAACTTTCTGATACTTACTGACCAGAGTCGGTTATGAGCAGGGACATAGCCTGTCGGACTTATTACTAAATGCTGAGCCACCGGGTTGAAGAATATCCGATTTTAATCTAAGAAATCTAATTAACAAGTAGTTAAGATTTTCAATTTATTTATTCTTAAAAATGTAGTTATTTGTTAACTACTTTGTTGTTAGGCTTATAACGTCTATGGCCCACAATAAAATTTGTTTGTGTATATCTTTTTTCAAGCGCTTAATACTCTTACCGTATGGAACGAATTCAATTCAAATAATTTATAGCAATATTATTTTGAACACCTAGAAATACTAACTATATTGCCTTTAAATAAAATGGACTAAGACCCGAGTATTATTTTAGGGATTGCTTTTCGATTCTGCTGCATGTGCCACAGCTTAAAAGGACAAGGGCACTTCAAGCAGCTAAGGTCATCAGAAATATATATAATTGCATGAGACTATAAAAATGAATGTATTTGAAAGTAATCGTGAAATATTTGATGGTTAAAT